CCGGGACGAAGGCTGGGGCTAATCATGTGACTGTATGTCTTTCTTTTTTTCCTTGTTTCTGGTTCGACCAGCAACCGTTATCCAGAATAGCTATCTGCATGAGATCGATACGCACTGATTGGATACTTTATTTCCCATCTACATACTGGAGTAAAATTAAGAGAAAAGAAAGTCAGTATTCAATAATGTGTGTGTCGAAAGTTAGCGAAAGCAAGCGAGTGGACAGAGCACCCGCTGCAGGCTGCAGGCCGACAGGCAGAGTAAGTCTGTGGGTCCCTATGAGCTAGTTTTGAATGCACTAGCCCTGTAATGGAATAGTCCGCACTCTAGGAACGGGTAGTGAGATTTGGCTGAAAGGGCCCAGGCAATCTGTCTGGCAAAGAAAAACCAGTTTCTCTGGCGCGCTCGCTTCAGGCTACCCAGATTGTCACGAAGCCAGTTGGGTGGTTTGGCATCTCGTATTGCTGGTCCTCTATCTACTAGTACAGATTGAGTCTGCATTATTGAGTATTGTTGGTGTCTTCTGGTAAGTAATCCGTCCAGTAGTGTAATCTCAGGTGACCACTAACCTCGGGTGATGCCGCGTGGACACAACTATCCAATCAGATGAGACAATCCCTCATGCATGGGTAGGCGAACCAGACTCGGGGATCCGTTTGCCTTGGACATTTGCCCTCCCCCTCGATCTGGTCGACGATGATGAAGATGAAGACGATAAATTATGGTGCTGCAGCAAACTTCGCAATCTTAGAAGAATCCTTGGTCGTGTCATGTGCTGGGATTATCGACCGCAATCCAGAGCATTCTTCCAGTGGGCTAATCAAACATGGTCCGGTATGATGGTATTCCACTGGGCCATACATACAGTCCTCCACTTAGAAGAACAGGATGACATGCTGCCTCAGCTTACGGGTCGTATGAACGAGACGATGATGCCTTTTTTTTTTGATCCTGATGATACTGATGACTCGATTCCATGATGAAGCAACTGATCTGGCTCGCTTCCATGGCCTCAAGAACTGTCAATCTGGACTCTTGACGCAAGGAGCATTGCCCCTTTTCACCGTCTGTATCTTACCGTACATAGGTACCCGAGTGGTAATCTCATACTGTCAGTTCTCTCGCTGTCAGTGCCCGCGTCGTTGCTTTTTCCCTCCTGAAGCCTGAAGAGAATCCAGTAGCTTTAGAGCTGATCTTCAAAAAATCGTACCTTTATTGTAGATCAAAGTACAGTCTTGCCATCGATCGTCCATCGCTGCTAAGCTTATTCTCTGCTCCACCATACAGGAGACTTGAGCAACATCCCCTGCTGGTCCTGGTCCGGTGGCCACCCGATCGCCGACAGCTACTCCACATATCTTGGTACTTTGACTTGGGCTTACGGTACAGCTTACAGATTACAGCACAGAGTATGGACGACTCTGGGTTGTTTTTTCCCCCAATACAACAGAGAATGCGATCCTCCACTCGTACTTGTTGATTCTACAGCGATTGATGCTTATCGGCCAATCATCTAAGCTGATCTCTTCGACCGAGGTGGTCGTACTGCAGGAGAATAATACCAGATTACCCAGATACCCAGATACCTTACGCACTCTTCGTAGAACCGTGGAATGCTCAGAACAACGGGGCAAACTGAGTGGCACTGGTAGACTAGTCGTCTCCAGTCTACCTTAGTCTACCTAGATGCTGTTAACCTGGTTCTTGGTTCGTTTGTGGCCTTCTCCTGGGACTTGCTTGGAGAGCCCTGTCAACCACGTTGTCGATGATCGGTCCCAGTCCCCTCTTTTGACTGAGGACGATTATTATTAGCCAGGAGATATCTCCCTTCGACCTATCTATCTCTGGATCTATTCTTATTCCTTTGTGATATGATAGCGCCTACTTTCTTTTTCTACAAACACCATGTTCCCCCTATTTTCTTTTGCTAGAGACGCATCATCCTCAGCTGAAGTACACTGAAATAATAATCAATTTGGTCTCCTTACCAGACCCCTTAGACTAGCTTTTTACAGGTAAACCCTCATTCTTCTTCGTTTTGTCGCCTCTTTTTAGTTTTTCTTTTTCTGTGGTCATTTTTTTTCCCTTTTTCATTACCCTTTTCTTTTACCCTCCCAAATTACGGAGGAATTATCATTATTATTATTATTTATTTATTTATTTATTTTTTTTTTTCGCACTTGACCCTTTCCAGAGCAGCACCCAAAATTTCCCGCCCGAAATTCCTCCCCCGCGCTGGCCAGACCCAGGCCCGTCGCTGGTTTTGACTGTGGAGTGGTCTGGATACTCGCGGTCTTTGGTTTTGGTTTGGGTTTTGTTGTTGTGCTTGTTCTTGTTCATTTATTGTTTGGTCTGTCTGGTCTGGTTTGGTCTTGTATTTTATTTTATTTTACTTTATTTTATTCCCCATTGCTGGCTGTTATTATCCTCTACCTTATATTATTCTTGATATTATTATTACTGGCGCTGGGTCTGCCTCTTCGTTTCTTCCTTTCCTCTCTTCCACTCTGACTGTTCTATCAGTGTCCTCCTAATAATACCACGATCCGATCACTTTCATCGATTGTCATCACCACCACAATCTCAGCACGACAGTGTCATCACCAGCATACCCTTATCCTACTCATTTGCTGACTCTACTCTGCTCCATCGTCATCAGAATTCGAGTCCATTCGCGCATCCTCGATCGCCAATTATTACCAAAGATAGACTCGGCCACCGTCGTATTCCTCTGATCGCGCGGTCGGCTTTGTCAAGACAATGCATGTCTCTGACGCCTGGTGAATTTCAAAATACCATCAGCTCCTTTACCTCTACCTCCGATATCTGCTTTGCGCATTTTCAGGCTTGCGCTGTACAGTTCTTGACTTGATACAAGAGGTCAGAGTATGTCCTCGGTATAAGTGTTGGGTGACCCTGAACATCAGTCGGGTACACTATCACATCAATCCAACCCCCTCAACATCAGGAACGAGAGAGCGAACGCGATTCTCGAAATCACCTAGACGGGACGTCAATATAAGATTCGATATCTATTTGACGCCAAACCTCGATTCTAAAGCGATCGCTCTTGCGCGATCCGCTCGCCCCTCCTGGATCCTCCAGACATCGTCTCTGGTGCCCTGTCTGGCAGTCGATTCTGGGCTGTTGGGGACGACAACGGATTGTCCTCCAGTTTGTCCCATCCTCAGGCCGCGGACTCGACGGCCGAGCTGTACCAACCCATCGCCTTTTCTCGAGACAATTCCGCCAATCTGGCTGCCCTCGCGATTCCTCCGCCGGGCATGGGGACGGCGTTGGGGGACTTGAATGCCCCGCCACCGTTGAACGCACGACGGCCGGCGGCGCCGACGCTCCCCAGCTTTGAGCTGCCCCCGCCGAACTTTCAGATCAGCGTCGGGACCCCCAAGTATTCGCTTCAGTCGAATGCGCACCCTCCAACCCATCCCAGTGTGAACAGTCTCTTGACACCACCGGCATCGACGCAGGCCGGCGAAGTGACCGCTCCGAGCTCGGCCGCGCCGACGACCGCCGTGTCTGCGACTCCGGACGTAACGCCCTCGTATGGGACAGCGTACTGGCAGGGCCACAGTGGCTATGGAAGCACTCCCGGGCCGCGGCAACCATGGAGTGCGGGGAGCAACCAGCCATATCCGACGCGGGACTCGTTTTCACCGTCGACATTACACCCATTGAGCCGAAATCAACCGACGTCTCCTCCCGTGACCGAAGGCATGACACAGCCGTACGACATGCACCACCTCCCTCCGTTTCAGCAATCACTTTCCGTTCCCCCGTCTGGTCTCCCGACCGGAACACCGCAGCATCCCGCCATGACGCACGCCATGTTGGCCAGTCCCACAGGATTGCCCAACCCGGGGCCGTCCCCGCACCTCCTCCCATCGAATGATCCTTACGGACCCAAATCGCAGTCAGCACCCGTCTACGGTGCGGCACAGCAGATGCCCAGCCCGCACCAGACCAGTTTCCCGCCGTACGGACAGCCGGGGCTCGGCATCCATCCGCCGGGTCGCGTCTCGTCCACTCCTACCCTCTCGGCCGCAGGGCCCCCACCTCATCTGAACTACTCGCGGCAGCCCTGGCCGTCGTACTCGCTACCTGCGATGAACGGGCCGGTGATGACGAACATACATAACCCGAACAGCCAGATGTCGTTGCTGGGCAGCATGCAACCGGGAATCCTCCCGGGCTTCAACAGTGGCCATGTGGCCAGCATGCAGCAGATGTACGGCGGGCATCCGCCACACCCCATCCACCAGCCGGGGCCGACCAACGACCGGCCATTCAAGTGTGATCAGTGCCCGCAAAGCTTCAACCGAAATCATGACCTGAAGCGACATAAGCGCATTCATCTGTCGGTAAAGCCGTTTCCATGTACACATTGCGATAAGAGTTTTTCGCGCAAGGATGCATTGAAGGTACGTCCCTCTATCTTTCTTTTTCCTTACTGTTCTCGTCGCTGATTAGTTAGCGACATATTCTGGTCAAAGGATGCGGCAAGGACGGGTCGGACGGGTCGAATAAGACGAGCACGGCGAGTGTCAAGGAGGAGGACAAGGAGAGCGTTGATACCAATGGGCACAGCTGATCAGTTTCTACGAGCATTGTTCTCAAGGCGTTGAGTAGGGGACTAGCGATGATTTCGAGTTTGTCTTCCATCTCTGTCTATCCATTTTCTATCCATCTATCTATTGTTGTTGAACGAGGCTATGGCGAATGTTGATATTATTGCGTATGGAGCGGCTTCTTGCACCTAACTCCTCGGTATGGGTTTGGATGATTCTAGCGTTGCAGTGTAGATTACTTATTCACTATTCACTTATTCACATCACTGAGACAATTGCTATTGGTCTGAATCAACTGCACACCACTGTGTCAAACAAAGAATAGGACAAGGCTAGTTCCCTCGGCAGATGAATGACAGATGATAAATATCTGCTCCCGGACATCTAAGGTCCTATCCTCACCTCAAATCCACAATGTCCCTCCTACTATTCTTTCTTTCCCTGGTCCTCGCTCTGGCTCAGCTTCCCCCAGTCTCTATCTACAACATCACCATCCCCAGCGCCCCGTCCCCCAACCTCAGTCTCGCAACCTTCACCACCCCCTCCACCCTCCTCTCGATCCTCTCCAAACCTAAAGTCCACCCCATCAACACCACCGTCTTCGACTGGTGGTACTTTGACGCTGTCTCTTCCTCGAATCCAAATGTCTCTGTCGTGATCACCCTATTCACCAGCACACCTACCGCATTCCCGTTCCTCCCGTCCAGAAATCCCTCATCCGTCCTCCTGTCCTACATCTGGATCTCCCTTGCAAATGGGACGAGCTACGCCGCCTACACGAATGCATCCCTAGCGACGGTCGACGCAGTCTGTGGTGTTACCAGGGGGATATGGCACGGGAGCGGTGTTTCCTTTACTGGGTCTGAGGAGGGCGCGTACGAGATTGTTATTGACGGCGGGCTAGGGGTAACTGGGTCTATGCGATTATCTTCTGTTCGTCATCCCCCCCCCGCCTACCAGGATAAGCTAACGCTAGAGCTTGCTAATGGATGTGGATATAGGTAGCGAACCCGCATACACCCTGCGGCGACAACCGGTTGCGCTTAGGTGATGCTGGCTCTACAGGTGCAGTTGGAATCGGTTGGGCGAGTCTCCTCCCCGATGCGGAGGCGAGTGTTGATGTTTTGGTGGGTGGGGAGAGGGTACGCTTTACCGGGGTTGGGTATCATGATAAGGTATGTTTCACTCTTTCATTTGAGTGTAGGATGTGGATGTGAGGGGGCTACGGTTGACGAGAGCAGAACTGGTCAGATGGACCATTTGAGGCGGCGGTGCGGACGTGGTACTGGGGACGGGGCCGGGTAGGCCCGTTCTCTGTCGTCTGGTTTGATATGCTTCCTCTCGGGAACGGAGCAGAGGTGGTGAGCGGGTATGTGGCTGTTGGGCGGGAGGTTATCGTGTCTGGCTGTGAGGAGGGGGTTGTGTCTGTGCGGCCATGGAAGAATGGGATGGCAGCTGCTTACCCGCCTGTCCTTGGGGATGTGCCGGATGGGTTCCGGGTGGTTTATAGCGGTGGGATGGAGGTGGATGTCACTCTTGGGGCGATGGTCGCTGGCGATGGCAAGTACTATGCGCGGTGGACGGGGACGATGACTGCAAAGATGGAGGGGGAGGTCTACGAGGGTGTGGGCATATTCGAGCAGTTTGTTATGCAGTAACATTTAACTATCAACAGAAGACATGAAGCGAAGAAAGTAGGGGTATATGATATATTAGTTACTGGCGGGCAGCCATCCACTCCTCCACCAACCCCCGATAATCCTCCATCCCATACGGACTCAACACCTTCCCTAAGATTCCGGCCTTGCGCACACTCCTCACCCCCAAATCATTCAACAGCAAATCCACATACGGGATCGCATCAAACACAAAATCCGGGTTCCGCTTCCCAAAGCCCCCGGGATACCGCCACTTGCCAAACTGACTATGCAGCGCCGTCTCCCACACCAGATCCATTTCCTCGCGCTTTTCGTCCAGCTTGTCTGCGTCTGCGTCTCCATCCCGGTCGATAGCCCGCAGCGCAGACGGACACCTCTCCGCCGGCCGCAGCACCGGGCTGCCCCCGAAAAACGCAGTAATCCACAGCGCCTGCGCCTGCGCAAGCAGCGTCGTGTTGATCGTCATCGCGATTCCCATAAACGCCAGGGAGCGCTCCCTCGCCAACGAACACGGCACCATGAACCGGGCCAGGCGGAAGGGATGCGCAGCTGTCGCGGGCGCATCCGGAGCAAGCGGCGCGTAGTCCTTGGGCGGGGCGGGCTGGTTGCGTAGCCGGGGGAACCGGCGGAGGATTTCGTCGTCGGCGGCGGCGAGGAGGTCCTCTGGGATGGGGTCTGCCGCCCAGGGGAAGCCGCAGTCGGTGTCCAAACCTGGCGGGAGGAAGTCGAGGTTTGGGGTGGCTTTCCAGCCTGTGGAGCAGATGAGGGCGGAGGAGGGGAGGTCCGTGCCGGAGGAGAGATGGACGGTTCCCGGGGAGAGGCGGCTGATGTTGGCGACATGGACGCGGACGGCGCCGGAGCGGACGAGGTCAAAGAAGTCGGTTGGGTAGTTGAGGATGCTGAGGCTGGAGGCGATCCAGAAGGGGCTGATCCAGGGCTTGAGCTTGGCGGTCTCCGGGTGGGCGTCGTAGCGGTTCAGCTGGATGACGTCGTTGGCGAGAACGCCCCAAAAAGCGTCGACGATCTTGCGGCCGAGCCAGGTGCCGTGCAGGAAGCGGCGGATGCGCGGGTAGCCGTCGGCGTGGCCCCAGATGCAGGGGCTGAAGAAGGTCAGGAGGCGCGTGGTGACCAGTTTCTCGAGCCACTTCTTCAGCGGGGTGACGTACGGCGGCGCCATCCACACAGGGCCGTGGCCGTTCTCGCGGATCACCCAGTCGACCTGTGCGCCGGACGTGGCGGCCGCGTAGACGGCGTCCCAGGCGGATTTGGTGCCGCCGAAGACAGTGATGCGCCGGCCATCCTGAAGGACCTCGGCTTCGTACTGGAGGAGATCGCGGCAGTGGAAGAGCGGCGCGTCGAAGGTCTCCTGGCCGGGGAAGTCGGGCAGGTAGGCCTGCGAAGTGATGCCGGTCGCGACGATGAGTTTGCGCGTCACCACCTCCCTGACTTCGCCTTGGTGCTCTGTAGTCAACAGCCAGGTGCCGTCCGGACGGTGTTCGGCCGATCGCACGCGCGTGTTGAGCCGGATGCGATCGCGGAACTGGAAATGCTCGGCGAATTTCTCCATGTACTGCTGGATGACCTGGCCAGGAATATGCTGGCCCGGTTGGACACCAAAAGTGTCTGGGTCCATGGGGAAATCGCTGAACTCGTAGGTGCCCAGCATGTTGTTGGATTTGAGGCCTTTGTACAGCCGGTGCTTGGCCCACACGCCTCCAATCGACGAGGCAGCCTCAAGGAGAATCACATTGCTGGACGGGTTGACCTGGAGATAGGTCTTGATGGCCGCGAGGCCACTCCAGCCTGACTGGTTAGTATCTGGTAATCAATTGAAGAGGGAAGGCATACCGGCACCGATGACTGTCAAATCGACCGTCTCCATGGTGGGACACTCAATTGACAGTTCACAAATTAATCAATCGGTGTCAACTGCTGCGTCAGTTGCTGCAAGTAAGAAAAGGCAAGAATGCAGAAAGTGATGTGTAGACGACAAGTCAGGCAACGAGACAGGGAAGATGGATAAGAGAAGGACAAGTGGGACACAAGAGGGTCTGGACTTTTTTATTCTTAGTCGATTATAGCCATGGATTGTATGATTGTGCAACAAACTTCAAAGACTGCCAAGTTTGAGAGTCATGCTAGCACAGACTACTGAGATTAGTTGCATATGGAAAGGTCAACGGTCAGCGGGGAATTATCCCTAGCCGCCGTAGAGCCGACTAGTGAGGACAGCAATAGACTAGGGATAGGAAGATTAAAATGTGGAGAGACTAGAGAACGAGAAGTGGACCTTGCAGTCAGGTATTGTGGCACAGCATGCCCCAAGAATCAGTCAATTTGTCAATCTCAGCAGGGCTTACACCACTGCAAGTATCAGGGGAAGAAAGGGATAAGCAAAGTGAAAGGGATAAGCAAAATACCAGTGCACAGATGGCCATCTCTGTAGATAGTCTGTACGTACTTTAGAATGCCGACAAGATAATCCTTACTGGACTGGAAAATTAGTGTGTGCTTAGTGTCATTAGCTGCAGCACTGGCCCTGTTTGTGTCTGTGAGTGATATTTCATTATTCAGGTCAGTGTATCAAGGGATAACTTTATGAAAAAAGCATCTTGAAAATTATAAACATCAGGAAGAAGGTGCCGTTCTGTCAGTTGCAGTCATAGCAATTGACCGAAAGTTATATGATTGCAATTCTGCTTGCTGTATTTGTGGTTATCAGACGGTAGTTATATATCATATGGCCGCGTTGTATGCAAGCAAGACGATGGAGTATGGACCCATCGTGGTTGTTTCTGCCTCGACAGGGATTGTTGACTGATTTTTATGACAATTGCCCCATGCTACAGCTGACAAAAAGCAGTTCTTCTTCTTCTTTGTCCTCCAAATCGACCTGTCACTTTTTCTGTCAAACATCACGGAATATGACAGCTCACTTGATACTTCCACTCAATGATGCAAGTTATGCGATCAGATCAGAGTTGCAAAGTCTATCTTTTCAAATCTACGCAAGCAGTTCCTCATTCTACTCTGGTTTGACTCTCCTCCCCGAGGAAATTCATCTTTTCCAGCAGTTGCTCCTATTCTCCATCATGTCGGTGCTTCTACTCAGACGGCTTTCTCGGCTACCTCAGCGGTAGTCTAGTCATATTATTAGTGCTGTCACTTCGCCGATGCTCCATGACCCCGCCGATCCTCAGCACGAAATACCACATATCGTTCGCTGCAAATATGGGTCTTGATGGCTGAAGAACAGCTGCGTCTCCACATGGCCGCTGACCAGGATCCTAGTGTGTCTCAAGTGGACAAAGAATCAGACAACCGTTCTCGACCTCGTCCTGAACAGTGCATAAGCATGTGGACACCAGTAATCATGGCAAGAAGATGGTCCCCCCGAATGATGGCTCGCCGTTCTGTCAGGGATTGGCATGACTCGAAGTCTATCAATCAAGGAACTGTTCAGCCTTGCAAGTAGTCTTTCTACACATCGTCTGTGGCGGATCAGTCGGGATTTGAATGTGCTGTACGGAGTACTCCATCTATATCTTCCTTGTTTCTTCCCCCCCTCCTCCTGAGGGGCTATCAATGTCAGTCATTCATTTACTGTCCCCTGACGAACGTTCATTCCTTTGTTCGTACCAGGAGATAGCTGAGACAGCTCGTGCGCCATCATGGGCGACAGCTTCACCACCGAGGCCTTTACTCTCCTCTCCCTCGCCATCGTTGTCATTATCCTTCGCATCGTCGCTCGCATCTTAACCGTGGGATTCCACAATTTCCAGCTCGATGATTACCTGATGCCTCTGGCCGGAGTATGTCCTGTCACTCCTTTACTGACATCTATTGACATCTATTGACATCTACTGACATGCTACATGGAGGTGGTCTACGGCCTCGAAACAGGCGCAGCCTACTGCGTCGGTGCCTGGTGGAAAGGAATGGCCAACAACTACATGACCGATGCCCAGCGCGCCGCCCTCTCGCCCGACTCGGAGGAATTCAGACTGCGAGTAGGCGGATCCAAAACGCAGGTGCTGGGGTGGTCGTTGTACACGACGTTGCTGTGGTTGTTGAAGGCGTGCATGGCCATCTTCTACTCGCGCTTGACGTATGTCTTCCCCGCTTTTATGGAGATGGGATACTGACGGACCAGGGCCGGTCTGATCAACATGCATATTCGGGTGCGGGTGGCCTACGTTGCCATCGGGGTGACCTATCTGACTGTGATCTTGTCGATCCTGTTTGGCTGCTATCCCATGCACAAGAATTGGCAGATCTATCCTAATCCTGGCAGTATGTTCTCCTCTCGTGAAGGTTTGCTTATACTGACGTGTCAGTACGCTGCCAACCCGCCATCTCGCCGATTGATGTCTACATGACGGTCACGCTGAATGTCGCGACGGATGTATATCTCATTACCATTCCGACACCTGTACGTGCTCATCGCCCCCCTGCCCTCACCGATGGCTAACATCCATAGATGCTCTTCAAAGCGCGGCTCCCCTGGCGCGAGAAACTCGAACTCTTCATCCTCTTCTCCGGCGGCATCTTCGTCATGGCGGCCGGAATCCTCCGCTGCGTCTTGATCGTCACAGTAAGCCTTTCCCCCTCAAATGCTATGACATGACTTGGGCTAACCAACACGTTAGGCCGGCGCAAACGGTGCTTCCCAAGCAGGCAGCTGGGCTTGCCGCGAGACCTTCGTCGCCGTGGTCATCGGCAACGCCCCCATGATCTACCCCCTGTTCCGCCGCGCCGCCCGCCGCGCAGGCTGGTACATCAGTTCCAGGGGCCAGTCGCAGAGCTACCCAGCCTACCCGCTATCCGAAGGCGAGCGCGGCGACAACTCGACGCACCACAGCAAGAAGCGCCGCTTCCGGCACCCGCTCAGCATCCCCGACACGCAGTGGCACGACGAGGCGATGATCCTGCCGACGTCGCGGCAGCAGCCGCCTACCTGTACGGCCAGCCCGGTCAGGGACTGGGACGAGTCGAGCCAGCCCAGTACGGAGGGGATCAAAGTGGTGCATGAGACGATAATTGAACGGAATGAGCGATGATCTTTACATACTTGTTATTTGTATACCCCCTATGTTTATTATTTGTAATCAACGACCCGCATAATTATATCTCATGAAGTCAAATCATATTTTCTCCGATAATAATCCTTCCTCCTCATCTCGACCTCCTGCTCCACCTGCGGAACCAACACCTCATCGCGCACCAACGACGCCTGGACCGGATTCCTCGACTGAAAGATAGCAGTCAACTCCTCGAGCGTGCGGCGCGACGTCTCCACAAACAGAAACCAAATCACTACCAGCTCCAGCATATCCCAGAAGATAAACAGCAGGTAATACCGCCACCCGGCCCTGGTGAACGCAATCCCCGTCACAAACGTATTGTAGAAATTCGCAATGTTGATAAAGAAATTGCTCATCCCCATCCCTTTCGCCCGCGACTCGTACCGCAGACACTCGACGGGGTACATTGCCTGATTGGGCGTCCAGCCGGCAGAATACACGAACCCAAAGATGAAGATCATGGCGATCTGCGCGCGCGCGACCACTGCGCTCTTGGCGATGACGACCCCGGTATCCTCGGGCGTCTTGACGTTGGATGCGTTCAGCGCCGTTATGATGCTGAAGATGAGGACCATCAGTGCGGTGGAGGTGAGGAGCTGCGCGCGCCGTCCGATTCGGTCGGTTAGTAGTGCGCCGAAGATGGCGCCTATGAACTGGCAGACGTTTTGCAGGCCTTGGAGCAGTAGGCGGGTGGAGTTGGAGGTTATTCCTGCGCCGGCGAGCATCTGCGGGTAGTAGTATGAGACGGGGCCGTTGCCGGACCATTGTCCGAAGAAGGCTACATATCATCAGTTGTGTGTCTGATTGACGTGGATAGAAGGGGGGTAGAAGGGGGGTAGAAGGGGGGACGAGGGAGAGGGGAATACCCATAAACATAACCAGCATCGAGCGGTAACGCGTCTCGGGCGAGTTGAACAGCTCGCGGTAATCCCACCAGCGCTTGTCAGCCCCCGTGTTGGAGATATCCTCGACCATCTCGCGGTACTCGAGCTGCACGAGCGGGGCGTTGCGGTCGCCGTCGCCGTGGTACGTGGCCAGCACGCGGATTGCCTCCTCGTGCTTGTCGCGGGACACAAGCCACCGGGGGCTCTCGGGAATAGTCCAGCATAGCCCCAGCACCAACCCCGCAAACACCATCTGCACCCAGACGGGAATCCGCCAGCTCATCGTCCCCTCGATCATGCTCGTGCGCCAGGGGATGAACGTCCCCGGGATGCCGCCGGCGAACCACAGCACGTTGTACAGCCCTGTCAGGGAGCCGCGCCAGGATGGGTGCGCGATCTCGGAGACGTAGGCTGGGCCGGCGGTGGCGGAGGTCGCGACCCCGAAGCCGAGGATGAAGCGGCCGGCCATGAAGCCGGCGAGGTTGGTGCAGGTCGCTTGGACGATGGTGCCGAGGATGATGAAGGAGGCCCCGAGTGCCATGCCCACCCGTCGTCCTACGCCTGTTAGCTTCGTTTGACAGGTCAAGATGAAGGGGTAATACCTCTGAAATCGGTGAATGGTCCAGCGCAGAACGACCCCACGATATTCCCGATGGTGTAGATGGCGTACACGATTCCCGTGGAGGGCGTGCCGGCTTCTGGATCGAAGCCAAAGTACTCCCGGTACTGGCTGTAGCTGTTGATGGAGCCCATAAGCGAGCCGTCGTACCCGTTGATGCATGAGTTGAGCGTGGCGACCGCGATGGCCCAGTATAACTACTCCTTAGTTTTCTCGTCACGAAGCGAACTGAAGAGGAATACCTTGAACATGTTTTTGCTCCACAGTCTCGGCTTCTGCTGGAAGGTTGCCATCG